CCATCTCTTCTCCACTTCCGGGGAAGTGACGACGACTGAAATGCAGTTGTCTGCTCAAGATTTGAGAATTGTCTATCCGTCACAATACTTATTTGCTCTGTGTTGACTTGATATGAACGGTGGCATTTTGAAAATATGTACATATCCATTAGGAAGGAAATCTGGAAATGTGGAGAAAATAATTCTAATTTTTCGGGGAAAGCTGAGACTAGTAATTTTCTTGATAAGACTGAAGAGCACAGATTGCATTACGATGACGCTAGGACAAACTCTGGTGGGTCGTCGTCTCTCGAGTGCACTTTCTCACCCTTCGTCCCCAACTTTCTCCCAACCAACCGACCAGAACCTGGACAAGAAATGTGACATTCCTGATGCACAACGGTTGTTTTATTTCTTCCCCCTCCTACCAACCGACAATCCATTTCTAAAATCTTGGTAAATTCCACAACCACGATACTTTTTTTACCTATGCTACCATCAGGTATTTCTTTGCACTTTCTCCTACCTTGATGTTACTTTTTCGCCGCCCGCAGCTGCCAGTCCTGCTTAAGAGGTGAGAAGATGGAGAGGACCCCCCGCGGGATTTGGCCCCCGCATAAATAACTGTCAACCATACTGCCAGCCAACCCCGAAGATCTTTCCCTGTCAAAGATTACTGACATAAGAAACATGACATGTCCATCTCCATCCCGCCGCCCAAAGTGTCATGATTCATTCATAAATGTCACCACAATTTATTGAAATGTCTCATTTGAATTGTACATTTAATATCACAATTTCATCCTTCACCGTAAACAACGTTAGAGTGAAAGCAGTTTCAAACAATCGAAATAAAATCATGAGACTTTTTCTGCGAGTAGTCAGATGCGAGTAGAGAAGAAAGGAAGTGGATTTTTTCGAGAGGTGAAACTTGATCCCGTATTTAAGTCCGTCAGTTATCCTGAGATTTAAGAGATTTGAATGGGAAAGTGGGGTCGTGGAATAAAATAAATAAACCTGAGCCTTTAGTCGGTGGGGAAGTTGGAGGAAATAATCTGGATGAATAAAGAACTCGACTTTTTCCATTTAACAGTTGTTCAAGACGGTGAAATTGATTTGGTAAAAGTGAAATAACTCAATATATTTTTATTGATCACGGGTTTATCTGTCCTCTGTTTTACTGCTTACTGTCGGTCAGTCTGTTCACACACAGAAAGGTCAAAGAGAATTTACCTGTTTCGATAAAATTGGTCAGAAAAATTGCATGCATGTGAATTCAAAGCAAATATCTTTTGCATTAGAAAAATGATAGATTTCCGTTTCTGATTCTGTACCTTGCTAGTACATATATAGTTCTTACATGATTTAGCAGAACATACAAAATTAACAGACCACCCCAAACACATGTTTGGATAATATAAGTTTACAGGAAGTTTTTTTAAATTTCATATAATATTGTGGAAATGTAAACGTATATGTATACTGTTCTTTGCTTGCAAAGATTTGTTTATTTAGTAACATTAATAAAAATGTGGAGAAAGCCTACTTAAAAACGCAACGAAAAATTCATTTTGTACTTTTCATGTTACAGGATAACAGCAACTCGTTCCTCGTTGAGTGGGGATTAGCAATCGATGACATTATTGACTGTTACTACGAATCTGAAACTGAAAGGTAAGTCGTGTTCATTATCTGTGTGTGATATTTAAGAGAAGTAAATTTGTTACAAGTTTGTATCTATTTTTTTAATCTAGAGCTTCACCCTTGCCAAATCCAGCTTTCTTATTGGAGCCATGTCGACCACCAGAACTGCCCTTATAACTCCTGAGACTTGCATTCCTCGACAAATCATACATGTACTTTAAAGGCTAAATCAAATGCATTTTTGTTGTATTCAATTATTACAATTTTTGAATAAATGCTTGCCTCTTTGAACGAAATGTGTATTCAAATTTTAAAGTTATCTGTATTATCAGAGTACAGTATATATGCTTACGTATTATACAACAACGTACATATACTCGTAGTTAATATTCGGCTAGGAATCAAAACGTGAGTATTCTATACTCTTGGGTATTCGTTTTAATTACTTTTGAATTTTCTATTTCTTTCATAATCGCGACCAAACTGATTTTGCAGGAGATGCGCAGTCGCAAACAGATCTTTGATCTCCACCTTTGTCACTAGTTTTATGTAATTCGTTTGATATACTTACAAGGGAACCTTAAGTACTGTCACCTCTCGATTTCCTTCGGAATAGCCTTATTCGACAGATAATTTAGTGAAACAAAAACTTTGTCATAGAACATGCGGTGCAAAATCGCGTTTTCGCGAAATATTTGGCGAGAGCTGCACCAAAACCTGCCATTTGCCCAATGCTTTTAACATAGCCACCAGCCTTTCGAATGATGAAATGAACTTTATAGAATCTCAATAAATTATATTTGTACCTGTCCGCGTAATTTCAGCCCGATCACGAATATGCAAAAAATGATGCAAAGATTCGCAAATTTTTTGCACATTGCAAAAATGCAAATATCCGCAAATTTGAATTTCTTCGTTTTTTTTAAATTCAACAAATTTATCAGTTTAACTGATATAAAGCATACTTTTCTGATTGCCAAAAAATTACAAAAATTTGCAAAAGATTGAAGTTTACAATTTTTAAAATCTGCTTTTTATAGAAACTTAAGAATTATCATATATGCTGGTATGAGCGAATAAAAAAAGCTAATTTGTTGAACAATTAAAACATGCTAACATTGCAAAAAATTCTACATATTGAACTATAAAATTGCACCAAGTTTTTGCAACTTGTAAAAATAAATACCACAAATAATTACGAAAACCACGTAAAAATAGATTATTTAATTTATTTTCATGAAAAATTGCGAAGTTCAATTTTTTGAAAATGTGTGTAAATTTTTTGCAATGACAAAAGTATATTTTATATCAGTTAAACTGATAAATTTGTTGAATTTAAAAAAAACGAAGAAATTCAAATTTGCGGATATTTGCATTTTTGCAATGTGCAAAAAATTTGCGAATCTTTGCATCATTTTTTGCATATTCGTGATCGGGCTGAAATTACGCGGACAGGTACAAATATAATTTATTGAGATTCTATAAAGTTCATTTCATCATTCGAAAGGCTGGTGGCTATGTTAAAAGCATTGGGCAAATGGCAGGTTTTGGTGCAGCTCTCGCCAAATATTTCGCGAAAACGCGATTTTGCACCGCATGTTCTATGACAAAGTTTTTGTTTCACTAAATTATCTGTCGAATAAGGCTATTCCGAAGGAAATCGAGAGGTGACAGTACTTAAGGTTCCCTTGTTAGATATGAAGGCAAAGAATCATTGTCTCTTGGGATTGTTCCCTCATTAATAGAAATGGGTATAAGATAAAGAAACCGAACGGGAAAAAGCAAATTGTCATCCTCTAAAAAACAGATAGAAAATAATGAGCATTTTGGATCCCAATCAAACCAAGATAATTAGAGAAAATGAGGAAAAAGCTCATTTCATTTGTATCACGTAGGAAAAATTTCTCTTGTGCAATCGTTTCTCTTTATCATCAATTAAGCATTTACGGCGACAAATACAAAATTGGATGGAAGAGAGACATTTGTTACGAGGGTTTGACACGGTTTGTCCAGATCATTTTACTGCAAATATTTTTCATTAAAACAACAACATTCGTACATAGTCAAGTGTTGCTTTAAACGAACAATGGAAGCTCAACATTCTAGTGATGATCCTAATTGTAAATATTTAGATAGAAAATGTAAAGGCTCACACTACGTGCTACTAAACTTTAAGGTACAAGTAGATAATACTCCAGAAATTATATTTATTTATCAGGGAACAATTTCTAAACAACCACCAAAAAATTTGATGTGTTCTGAAGACGCATCTACAAATCGCCGATCCCGGAATCCAAGTAACATCATCGTTACATGATTTTCGTCTAATCGATCTCACAATCCGACCAATCCGACCAACGATTAGAAAGTGAATTTCGTTTTATGCTTTCTTCTTCATTTCCTCCCCCCATAATTACCTTGCAGTTAGCGTGGACGATGATACCACTCAAATCCACTCTCATCCTACATACTTTGTAAAACTATCAAACTCGCAGATATTCGGGTATTAGTTGGGTTTACTTTCTCTGAAATATAATGGGGAAGATCTAGTAATAAGTAATTGAAGCCGCATAATATGACGCAATGTGGTGCAATGAAGACGAGAAGCTTTTATGACTCTCTTTCTCCATCATTATAAGATAAGCTCTTATCTCATTCATTTCTTGGAGAAAGTGTCTCTCATCTTTATCCACTCGCCCGGATATGGATATTCTTAAGAAAGTAATGGTAGGGAAAAGCGATTAGTTACTTCAAATAACAATAATTAAGTAATTTCGGAATTCATTTTGATAATGGGCACAATGAGACTAAAATTGTCATTACTTAAATTAGACATTTAGGAATACTGAAGTATTTTATAAGATCGATACATAATGTGAAGTATCTGGTACAGAATTTGAAAATATCGAATGCAGTTCTGTGATAAATTTCAAGGTTATTGATCTGATTATCAATATCTTTACTGATTTCAGCTAAAAGCGACTCTGTCTTGGGATTAATGTTACGTGATAACGCTTAAGTTTTATCACGTAAAATACAAACTCGGGGGACATGACATTCGCCACGTAAAAATGAAATTCTCTTATTCTCCTAATTGCTCCAGATGAAGAAGGAAGTAGAAAGATAGGAATTGTCTTTTTCCTTAATTTAAAATAATTATCTGGGTGTGATTGGAATTCCAATTTCTAGTGCGTTCTTCCTCCTTCTCTGGCAGAACTGTCACTCCTCGTCCACCCCAGCTCCTACTACTTTTATCCTCTTGATGACTGTTCTTTTAATTGACAAAATTACTGCACTCTGAGACAACCTGGATCTAGAATGACTCGAATGAAGGGAAGGTTCCATTAATTAAAAATTTTCAAGGACAGATACGAACATAACAGAAATTTCTACCTTTTATTTTAACCGGAGTGCTTAAAATTCTTTAAGAAAATCAAAAATGTGCACAGAAATATACAAAATAAAAATCTAAATGATTATTAATAAATACAAATGCGTAATAATCCTAACGTTGACTAATTTTAATTTTACACTTTTTAAACTTATGGCGAGTTTTCTCCTCTTGGGATGCAAATATCCAGTCCAAACGTGACTATTGGGAGATCGTGTCTTATGCAAATTTCATATTAATTGAATTTGCAATTTGTTTGACACTAGTTTAGTCAAAATCCTCGAGCATACGGTGTAGGAGACCTCCATTGTTAATGAGAATTTTAAGAAACTTCAAATTCGCCCAGAAACGCCCACAAGATCCAGAGCATGTACAGCCTAAAAATTGCAGCGATAAAGTACACGACATAAAACCAGAGGAGGGGATAAGGTGAGGATGGATTTGGCGGTGGTAGTGGCGTTGGCGGCGCTGGTGGTGACGGCGGTGGCCCCACATTTGAAATCGTATGTCGTATCAAGACTATCAAAACGGTGGAAATTGTCATCACAGCGCCGGCCGCTTTAAGCCATGCTCTGAGACGTTGAAGGTTTCTCTGTAAGAAAATGAAAAAAATTGTGGTATTTGAAAATTTGAAAAGATTAATAAATTTTTGAAATAAGCATAGCGAGACTTAAGGTTTTCAGAAATTTTATATTTTGGTAGATTTTTATGCCATTTAGAAGGCAGAATTTGCAAATATTAGTTTACACATTTTCATGAAAAATGGATGTGGTACAAACAAAGTAATTAGTACAACATTTTTACAGTAAAATGCACTTATAACAATATAAAAATTTTGTGGCAAAAATGAGTAAAAATTCTCCAAATCGTGTCATTTTTAACTAGAAAATTCAGAAATCTCTCAAACTTGTGAATTTATTGAAATTTTTAAATTTTGGTAGATTTAGACGCCATTAGAAATACGGTAAGATTTACAAATGTCAATTTAGGATATGTAGATTTTTTAGAAATTTATGACAAAAATATGCAAGTATTTATCCAAATCCCTGCTATCTTTTTAGTATCCTTCTTAACTAAAAATTCAAAAATATCTCAAATTTGTGAATTTACTGAAATTAAACAAAAAATGATAAATTTGGACGCCATTAAGAATAAGCCAAGATTTACAAATCTCGGTTTAGTATGTATAGATATGTTTTAACTTGTGGCAAAAATGAGCAAAATTTTGTCCAAATCGTGTCCTTTAAGTATACAATTTTTCGTAAATCTCTCAAAACTTCTTATTCTGTGTACGCTTCAATTCATACGTAGCGATTACGTCAAATTATTTACATTGATGGTCAAAGGTCATTAAGACGATATTAAGAAAGTATGAGTCATACGCATATTTACCTCGTGAGCAGCTCGGTACAGACGGAATGCCAAATACATCTCGGCTCCCATTGTCAGGACGAATAAGATCATGCAGCCGACAGGAAAAGCTATTAACCGATGAATCAACCACAAACAAAATTTGGCCAGAATTTTATCTAGGAATTCAGAATAAACACATTTTTATTACCAGACGCCTCAGGATCTCGAATTCCGACAAACGTATTGTTGAGAACGGCAATTCCGCAAAAGATTAAAAAGCCGGACAAAATCTACATAATAATAATTTAATTGAGTTGAGTGCAAGTTTTTTGCAAATATTATACGTCAATTACCAAATCAATCATTGCAGCAACTTTTGTACTTTTTCGAAGATCAGATCCACATGTTGGGTGAACCATTATGTTATTTATGTTGATAGTGGGTGGAGGTGGAAGTAGGCGAAAATTCTCCATGAAATATATTTTTTACAATTTTTGTATCCAACTAAATTCGGATGAAATGAAACGTAAGTATGTGCAAAAAATTTAACGATGCGAATTAAACTCGGTTTGAAGGCCAGTAAGTAACACTTTATTGATTTGGATTAAATTGCAAATATTGAATTTGCAAAGTAAAAGATAAATTTCAATGTTGCGAATCTATGTCATATGTATTTAACCAACCTTTATGTGTGTTTAGTAGTTAAACTAGAGTAATCTATTCATCAAAGAGAGAGAAACAGTGGGGCATATATTCGCTTTGTTCATAACTTTTGCGAACGGAAATCTGACACCAGTCAAAGCCAGTCAGTTAACCATTCGACTTTATTACACATATTTTCTTTGTCATTATAACAAAGAAATTCTGAGTCATGCACTAATCGACTTATGTATGCAATAAAAAAATGTAAAGATCAATGTCCCATTAAATCAATTTCATTGACTATTTAAATAACTACCTATTTAATCGAACAAAATGTCCTTTGATATCGATACAAATTTATTAACTTCATTAACTATTATTTATTTGAATTTATGTATCATAAAATGAAAAAAAATTATGCCACACTGATGAACGATCTATTATGTGTATCTCACAAGAATAAATTACATGAAATGTGCATGATAAAAACTTGATCCTTAATTGATACTTAAAAAACAGTAGCCAGGATTCGGTGAAAAAGAGTACAATAATTTGGGAATGACGTAATATTATTACTTTTTAAGAGTCATAATCTAATGTAATAAAATCATTATGTATGTAATTCCCAAACTTTTGAACTGCTTTTCACCGAATTCTAGCCACTGACTGAAGTGGCAAGGATCAAGTTTTGACATGACAATGATGAAGGTAATCTCCTGTTTGCATGCATTCATACAAATCTCAAGTGATACCTACATATGTGCAACACAGAGAATTCAGTGAATTACTAGTCAAACATTTAAAAAATCATACAATTTTCCTGTTTCGATTGACTGACCGTTATTTCTCTGAAATTTGCGCAAATTCGTCACTCAGTGCATGTAATTGTGTTTATTGTGATTGACAAGTTCATCAGCATATGTAAACGAATCCGATAAACTTATCAATTTATTTTTATAATTATTATGTATTTATTATTATGACATGGATGATAACACACTTCAGTGAGTGGAGATGTTCCAAATACGGACAAAACTGGGTTATGTGAACAGTCTCATTATTTCACAAATTTAATTTAATTGCATATACGAAATGTCTGTCAAATCAAATTTATTCTGCATTTTGACCTTTTCTTGGATAATTACGATTTTATCGGCAAGTTCATTACGAGAAGAGTTACCATTCAAACAAAATAATATTACAGGTTGGGAAAAAGCTAAACTTTTTTCATATTAAGTAAAGTTATTAATTGGTAAATTATTGGTATTAGAATTTGATGGATTTTCTTACCTCGGAAGTTTCCAAGTCAAACAGGGTCAACCGAGATGGACTTATTTCATCAGTAAGGACGAGGTGCGTATGGATAATTCATCTTAAAATTAATATCGTCGCTAATGAATTAATTTTTCTAGATCCCCATAAGTGAAGCATATGGCCGTTGCTTGACCATGTTTAATGGCCAACTTTTAACCATTTTTACGAAAGAGGAGGACGAATATGTTCGCCTTCGAATACAAATTGATGGGATCGGAGCAGGTCAGCTATACATAAATACATGTTAAAAATCGGGTTGCGAATTTTTAGAAAAACATGATTATAGAGAATTTTTTACTTCAAAAACGGAAATTTTTGCAAAATTTTTGACAATTTTTTAAAGTGTAGAGATTGTTTTTTAAAAATTTTATTCAGGGACGCAGAGATTTTTAATGCATTTTGATTTTATTCAAAGCCGCAGCAATTTTTGATGTTTTCGTTAAAAGAGAATTTCTTCTACTAATTTTTGCGTTTTTTACACCTATGTAAATATCTGTATCAGACCCTACTGCCGTGGTTGCCACTGCTGGGAAGTGGAATCCGGTCTCCTCTCCTCCCCGTTGGGAATGGACCTCTACGGGGGGACCATTTATATATGCAAATTTTCGAGGGGGAACCACACCCCCAGGAACTGCCGGCCAGTGCGTCGTCGTAAGCGGCGAATTATCCAATTTTGGCTGGAGTAATGTCGACTGTGGAGATCAAGCTTATTACATTTGTCAATTTTAAGATATAATCTTTGATATAATACGTATGTTCTTTGAATATTATTTTAATAAAATTTTAGAAACTCTTCAATAAATTAAGATTTTAATAAAATTTTAAGGAATGTTCAAAAAATTAACGGTTTAACAATAGAAAGAATGAAATATCTTACGTCAACGATTTCTATTTTGCATTTAGCAAATATTTTCGAGAAATGGAAACATTTTTTGGGTAAATCTGGGGAAATTTACAAACAAATCTCATAAAAATTCGCAAAATCTGGGACGTTAGAGTTTGCTAGGCATACAGTTTACATGCACATACGGATAATTTAAATTTAATGCATACATTATTTCGCACATTAAAAAAATGTATGTATATTAGTCTTCACTTTAAAAAAATGTAACTTGCCTGCATCGATAGATAAGCTTACAAACATGCAGTTTTACCGACCATGACCATGACACATCATCATGATTTATGAATCATAACAATGTCTATAAATTTATGACCCCTTATCCAGGAAATTTTGCAACGGTAAGTGCTCAGATTCACCTAATCTAAACGTCATTCATAATTTGCTGCCATCCTGTAATCCTGGACATACATATTAATTGCTGTTTAATTCAGCAGCACTTAAATGCACTAAATTCCGGGTTACCCATTAAACTGATATGCATAAAGGATCAACTTTTAATAATCTAATTGTAGGTTACACACATAGGTTACAATATTTACCTACAGACATGATTTTTTTCTGTTATGCATTTAATTCTTCATGACTAACAATTACATAAGTGCAATTAGCAATTAACTCGAATACATATATAAACTACTAAATTGGAATTTGCTCATCTATTTTTTCAATTATTAAGATAACACAAAAATTCGTTGAAATTTGTCCCCACTTAAAATAACTTTGACATATTCGTCGTACACAAATAAATAAAGTGTCACCATGATTGAGTAATAAATATCAATGACTAATTTCAATCGTGTTAGGGAGCTTGTACTAATTTTATCTAAACACAGATTACGGGTTACAGTTACAACTTTTTATTTTGCAATTATTCATATGACAGTGAGATATTAATAATACGTGACTAACTGAAAGTGAGTCGTCTAGTGCGTCGGATTCGTCGTTTTAAGTAACATTTGGGCAGGAAAAAAAATGGAAAATTTCATATATTTCGCCCTAATTTGCTGCCTCTCCGCTGCTCCCTTGGTGCATGGGGTCGGTCCTGGCGAAACGTGTCACCCCAGCGCTGGACCTTATTGTGACGACGACCTAAATTCATACTGTGAGCAGGATCCCCCTTCTTCCGGAAATTATATCTGTATCTGCGTCCGGAATTTTTTCAACTACAACGGGGCCTGTACTTCACTTCCCACTCTTCCATCGCATCCCTGCCATGAAATCGAAGCCCCTTGTGACGCCATTCACAACACGGAATGTGTGGGAAACCCCACGTCAAAAACCTGCACTTGTATCAATACCTACAGCCACGATACGGTAAACCGTCGCTGCATCCTAACCCCCACACAACCCGGCGATATTTGCCAACGCACCTCCGTCCCGTGCACCTTTGACCCGACCGAAGTTGCATGTGGCCCAGTCCGCCCAGAATATGATGGCGAATCAATCTGCGAGTGTTTAAACGGTAAAGTGACCGATGTTCCGAATCACCGCTGTTTAACGAGACCAGAAAACCCGGGAGATTCTTGCACCCAGACGTTAACCCCGTGTACGGGCGTGGTCAATACGACGTGCTCTCCAAAAAGTGGGGGTGACTGGCATTGCGCGTGTAATGGAGACCTCGTTCTGCAACCTGACCTGCAAAAATGTCTCTTTCCTCCGAACAGAGTGGGCGACTTGTGTGACCCGATTTACAATCTTTGTGGTCGTGTCGAGGATACGAGTTGCGCCCAAAATGAGACATCTCAAGACGTCTGTATTTGTCTAGATCCGCTCGTAACGGATTATTTTGCGGGGAAATGTCTGATGAAACCGGGTTTTCCGGGGGATCAGTGTCACACCGAATTGACGCCGTGCTCAGACGTTCCCCTGACGGAGTGCGGCTCAGATAAGGCTGACGGGACGGAGACTTACTGTAAATGTGACGAGGGCTATGTAACACTTCCGGGTGAGAAGAGATGTCTTATTGTCCCGATACTTCCTGGGGAGGAGTGTCACGTCACGCTTGCGCCATGTGTCGGAGTGAATAATACGATGTGTATGGGGAATAAGTGCATCTGTGTTGGCGACCTGATTACGGATGAAGAATTCGGGAGATGTCTCAATATACCGGAAGAAGCGACAGATTCGTGTCACCCGATGCTAGCCCCCTGTAACCGCGTGGCACATACCACGTGTGCCTATTCCATCCCTGAGGACGAGTATAAATGCGCCTGCATGGCAGGCTACGTGCTTAACCCTGCGAATAAAAGCTGCCTCGCGATACCGACCCGACCTGGAGACCCGTGCGACACTACGCTCCCGTTACCCTGCACCGGCGTGACGAATGCGACCACGTGCTTCTGCGAGGGAGGATCAAATTGCTACTGTAAATGTGACGGGGATCTGATTAATGATCCTGACCAAGCCCGATGCCTTTCCCGTCCTCAGTTTCCTCTAGATTTGTGCCATCCAGGTGTCGCGGATTGTTCCCTGGTGGAAAACACCATCTGCGCACGACCCCCGGGAGAAACGGAGTTCGAATGTCTCTGCATTTCCGGGTATGTGTACGACTTGGCGGGAAAGCGCTGTATTTCGCCCCCAGTTCAACCTGGCGACCCGTGTGAACCGAGTCTCGCGCCGTGTACGAATTTCCCCAACACCACGTGCACCTGGACACCCGAGTTTGGCTACAGCTGTCGCTGCGTGGGCGGTCTAATCACGGAGGATGGGACGTGTTTTAAAGTCCCGGAATTTCCCGGGGATCGATGCTCTCTTACGCAGGCACCATGTGTCTCCGTTACGAACACTTCTTGCCTGAGAGACGGACACTTTTCGTATACCTGGTGTAAATGTGGGGATGGATTTTTTACGGATTTTTCAGCCCGAAGGTGTATCCCGCTTCCAGAAAAACCGGGGCAAATTTGTCTACCCGGTTCGGATCAGTGTGACAAAATCCCGCATACGGAATGCAGACCGGGTGCGGGTGCGGGAGGAGATTCGTATTTGTGCGAATGTATTGAAGGCTATTTTCAATCTGGAGAAGAGGAATGCGTCGCCCTTGCGACCAAACCACTCGACCCGTGTGAGGAGGATGTCCACTGCGCAGGCGTGCCTGGGTCGGAGTGCGGCGAGGGACGAACCTGTATCTGTATCCCGGCGGAGTACGACTTGTCCCCGGGTGGGACTCAATGTCTCGCGAAGGCGGACGAGCTGTATGAAAAATGCGAGTTTGACGCGCAATGCTCGAAGATGAATAATTCGTACTGCCCGCCCGGCATAAATAGGACGTGTGTCTGTCACGTTGGGTACTTTCCTAGTGAAACATTGAAGTTTTGTTTGCTACCAGTGACCCGAATTGGGGCCACGTGTCTGGAGAATATTCAGTGTGAGGTGGGAATCGGCGTGGAGTCGAGGTGTGGCGCAGATTCGACTTGTGAATGTAAAGAAGGATTTGTACCGACGGAGGGCGGAAACGGCTGTGTTTTGGTAAGTTAGATATTGGGATTTGGCGCGAGGCTAGGATTATGCAGAGTGTTACGGACATAATTTATGGATTGCGCCTTATTTTTAAATATTTGAAATTAGACACAGTTCTTCGGAAATAATGTATGAGTGGCACGTTTACTTTTAAACATTCCAAAAATTGTGACACGTTACGGACTTGTTTTACGGATATAAATAGATCCCAATTTTTATTTTGCATAGATTCCTACCACAACCACTACTACCTCGACCACTACCCCAACCCCTCGCCCTAACCTGGAATGCACCACTGATGACCACTGTGACCCCATCAGGGGACCACTTTCGTACTGCAACCCACTCACAAATCTGTGCATTTGTTACGAGAACGCCACCCTGATTGGGACCACGTGTCGGTATCGCGCCTTCCTCGGGGATGACTGCACCCTTACCGAGGAATGTGTCGCCGGAGCGGGAAATCTGACCTACTGTGCGCCCAATTTCGATATGTGTCTCTGCATCCCGGGCTACCATCAGAATGGGGAAATGTGTCGGCGAAACGGGGGGATTGGAAGTACCTGTGACAGGAATGAAGACTGTAACGCGGTCACGATTGGAAATTCCATTTGTCACGCGGTTGAGAAGAGGTGCGTCTGTTTTCTTGGCCAAGTTCCGGTGTCGGAGTATGAATGCGTTTCTAAGGGAGGGGTCCATACGAGAAGTTTATTTATGGTGGTGATTAGCATGGTGGTTTGGTTTGTGAAGTAGATTTATGTATTTATGTATCAATGAGAGATAAGTGTGTAAGAAGTTTTGAGTGATGTATGCAGACAATGGATATGTATGTATTTATTTTCAATTTTTTCAGTCGATTACGAAATCACGACCGACGGTCAAACTTTGTGGATGTGATTTCCGCTATTATTTGAAAAATTTGTAAATCTTTTACATATTTTTTTAATTTGGTAAATATTTCACCGATGTGAGACAAAATTTTTTAGTAAAAAAAATTGGACCACAAAAAATCCAGAGTATGTAATTCAAAAATGCATGCGAAAATTCGAATTTTTTTGATTTTAGCGTACATATGTGGTTGGTTATATTGGTGTTTTTTTTCTTAAATACTACGTACATATTCAGGAATTTTTCATGAATACATAGCCGCCCTCTGACTGATATGAAATTGTAAATATTTTATAAATGATGGTAACTCTACTGCTATACTCATTAAAAACATACATAGTAGAATGGTTGTGTTCTTAATTATTAAAAAATAAATTTTACGTATTTAATATTTACGAAAAATTACTTTAATCGATTTTTATTTCATTAAACGCCTTTGATTTTTTTGTAGTGGAATTTTTCGAAAAAAATGTTATAATCTTCGAGATTGGCGTATTTTTGAAAGTAAATGTCTGAAAAAATTCCTAAAGTATTTTTCAAATACTACTGTGTACCTGAAATATTTAGAAAATATCAATATTTATGAATATCTACATTATAAAAATTTTAGTGATGTATAAATTCAATGATAATGTCGAACATAAATATCCACCATTAAATTATATAAAAAATAAATCACCCAACATGTCCCATATTTATTTACACACGTATTTATTTAATGGATGAAATGTGAATATTTTTTTAGGAAATATAATTTTTATTCAAAATTGGCAAATGTAATACATCTCGGCTAAACAATTGACCGCACTCCAGACATAGCTGGACAATTCTCCCACAACGGCGACACACTGACCCTGCGTCCCCACGGGGGTTGATGGTCTAAAATTCGAGTAGATTAACTCCGTCAATGTTGTACCCCACTCCCACCGGCGCACGACGGAATTCCACCTCCCAGACGTGGCCACGTACTCGTTAGCTGTGAACGAATTTTTGAACATTTACAGTCTCGAAATTGGTGAAAGAAAATATGAATTGTTGGATAAATGAGAGATCGTGAAAGTCTGCGAGAGGAAGTCAAGTCATAGGCCAAGGGTCAGGTTAGGTCAGGTCATAGGTCAAACGTTGACCTTGTAAAATACGAGAAGAACCATTTTTTTTTTACCTGGGCCAATTCCTTCAATTTGTAACAAGATACGAATATATTCGTCCTCATCCTTCGTATATATGGTGAGCAGTCGGCCTTCAAAGAGCACACCGCACATTCCTAACGCGTCCGTCATTGAAATCTTGAAAATTAGAAATTTAATTATTTTATTGTGAATTTTGCGTCAATTTTATGGGACGTTTCGTAAGAAAACATGCCTTATTTTTACTAAGGAAGTACGACCATCTTGGTTGTGCCCCTTTAATCTCCTCGAGTGGAGTTAAGTAACGAAAGCCTTGATTTTCTAGAATATTTTTTAAAACTTGTGTAAGAAATTCATCGGAACTTAATTTAGTTAATTAACTTACCGATGTAATCAATATCCGATTGTGACAGATTTTTTGGAGTGAGCGATCCTTCGGAATTGGCCAAAAATAAAAATGCAATAGCGATCACGATATTCGAAATACTTGTCATTTTTTATTTTTTGATTCAGCACAGAGATGGACAAATTGTGGGTCAAATGAGCATGACCAAGTTAATACTAAATATTGCTATAATCTGACGCTTGAACTTATAATGCTTTGTTAAATTCAGCAATATCAATTTGACTTGGATCAATGCGAAACTGAGAAGATAACAGAAATGAAGGTCATCCGATAGCGCAATTATGTATCAATTACATAATGGGCCACCCTTATGATCTGGGTGCGATATATTTCGTTACCAGAGGGCGGTTATATGTTGTCGAAAAGTCGCTGAAATATATATTTAATATTTGCCAAAAAATCCAAAATTTAATTCTGAAGTAGATACATATGTGCGGAAAAACCATAAAAGTAAGAATTTTTCATCAAATGAAAAGGTTGGAAATGAATACATAGCCGCCCTCTGGTCATTACAATTTTACAAAATTATGTAAGAAAACTGATTTATTTTGGAATTATTATTATTATTTATTAATCAAGCTTGCTTCTTTACAAAGCTCGTTATGCCTGACATATTTGTATTTCACAGCACATAAGTTTGGCGTAAATTTGTCAAATAATTTAATAAATTAGATAATATGTTCTCATGTAGAATGTTCTCAAAATTTAAGGCCACATTACATTTCACAGATAAAAACGCCCACAGTATCACAATCTAAACTCCTCCATCGATAAAAATTAGAGGCCTGGACGCCTTTGAAGCAACAGTGATTTTCAAAATCTGGTGAGGACGGTGACCAATTTCGGTAGGGAAAGAGTGTCGCCGTAGTTGACCATTCCCACTCCGGAAAAGGGTGACTTACATAATTGATTTTTCCAGAGGTGATGATGTCATCTGAGACATAAAATTTGCATGAAGATTAATTAAATAATTGTGACCAAAATTTGTCAATTGGGAGGTATTTTGGACAGATTAAGGCATTTTTGGATATCGACATACCCTGAGTGACGGTAAAAACCAGTTTCGGTTACCGATTTTTTAGTAATTTTTGTTACAGATTTGGGTAATTTGGGTTGCTAATTTTGTTTACCAATTACTTTTTAAATGAGATGCTAGCTGACAATCACCCGTAATTAATCCTTAAACTGGAGACTTACGTGAAATGCCAAGGTCGACAATCATATCGGAAATAGCGTCATCTTGAGCCACATTAAGAATTGTGAGTAATCTGCCCTTGTAGATTCGCAAACATTCTGCCAACGCTTCTGACTGGTTGACCTGCATTTATGAGAAAATGGTTCCAAGTTTTGTTTATTTGTTTTGCAAAAATTACAATGATTTAAGTAGATAGAAATTTGACTTACCAATTTATCTATGTAGAGGTACCCCATCTCACCCCTTGTCCAATATGTGGCTACTTGATTAGTGGGTGCGGAATTTGTAAGGGAGTATAACATTGGGAAAAATAGGAGGAGAAACGATGCCCCATTTCCTGGCGTCATTTTGGTCATCGAGAGTAAATAAAATTAAATGTTTATGTGCATATGCTGAAACCGACGAGTATTTGTAGGAATGGATGTATATACGTATCCTCCTGCATTTATTGATAAGATAAGAAAATAAGCCAAATGCAATTTATTCAGGGTAATATGTAACTCAAAACATATCGGTCAAGGCGATATTCTTTGACACTTTATCGTTCTTAAAAATACCAAAAATCACCTATACATTATCAAAGTATGAAAACTTGCATCTATCTCGAAGCTCATGAAATTTATGGCATTTTATAAATTTACGTGTAAAGAAGTTGAATATGGATTGGATTGAGTGAGATAATTAACAATCAAAGTATGAAAATAATATCCTCGTGACGATCAGGCGTTTTTACGTGACAATTTTTTTCTAAAATGCAAATTCTGCGCAATTACATATTTTGTAAGTGGGCGATAAGACCTGTTCGTAACTTTAGTTATGGCTGTCAGCAATCACATTGAAGTGGCTCGAGATTCAGAATTCGTTGAAATAATTTACTATTATCTATCCAAACTTCCTATCACGGAGTTGTTAATATGTATTTAAATAGAGCAATAAATGTCAACATTAAGCATCATCAACTGATTAATGTCGAATTCGGTTAATTCGCTCGAATATAGTTTTCGCTGAAAAACTTGATGAGTTAAAATTAATTAAAAAAACATCCATCACCTGATAATTTTGACAGTTTTGTTGCACTCTTACATGTATTTTATCAAACGTTCCTATACAAATGGTCAAATTTCCAAGAATTAATTCCCAACAGCAAAAAAATTGACATTGTTCAGATAAGAATTGGTTGAGCATGTAATAATTTCTAATTATAAAACGTAACCTTTGCATGCCCGAGCCATCTCTTCATAAGGAAGTTGGTGGGATGCGATGTGTTGGACAGACATGACGGGCACATAAGTCCTGGCTAGAAATCGACTAAAACTACGTATACAATTGGTAAAATACACCCGGGTTAAAGTTTGCCTGCTAAACATGATGTAACGAATCTGTGTTATACAAGTGTATGTACACTTTTGTGAATAGTAATCAACTCGCAATTACATATGCATTGTGACCACTTGAAAAGCGCATAAAAGACCAAATGACGGGCAGTTATGATGCAGTTTTAATTTGTTAGCTTATTCTTCATCGATAAGTTGGCTAATTTTTTTCAAGATGAGATACGCATCCTTTTCAACGTCCGTGTTCCTCATACTGGTTTATTTTTCGGGGTGCATAACCAGCCAGGCAAATTGGTGGCTAAATTGTGTAGGGACCAATCCAGGTCCGAGCAATGTCTTCTTCTACCTGTACACCAGGTTTGACCAGATTTAATTTTGCGCCAGTAATTAACTAGAGTTATTTATCTGAATGTTTTGTCATTGTTTGGGTTTTGAGGGGTAGATGTATTTGAAAAATAAGTCATGTTTAACTCATAGGGACAATCCCAATCAGGAGCAGAGGCTTACATTGGGAAATACAGAATCCATAAAAAATTCGAATTTTGACCCGAGCTATCCTGTTGTCTTTTATATCCACGGATTTAAGGATTGGTCGGACGGAACGAGCTCTCAAGCTATTAAAGATGGTATGCAATTTGACTTTAATGTTATAAAATTACAATTAATTAATAAATTAGATTAGATCATAAAAATGGAAAATTCTTGTCGGGGTTTTGAAGTGTTTTCGGAATTATTTATGTATCTAAAATTATGAGGAGCTAAAATTTCTGAAATTATTTTTATGTGAGCGAATATGTATGTATGTATATATTCCGATGTACATAATATGTCGAAAAAAATCAGAGAATGTTTTGTATCGACGAAGCCAAATTTCTGAAATTATTTTCATGAATTATTTATGAGCAAATTTATCTGTTTTTCAGAGTACGTTAAGAATTCAAACTTTTACAATTTTATTCTGGTCGATTGGTGCAAAGTGGTTAAACCATCGAGCCCTACTGACATCCCGATGGGATTTACTTGCAATGCGAACGGGATAATCTGTCCAGGGGGAGGAGGTGATCCTTATCGCTCCGCAAGTTGTGACGCCCTCGCCGTTGGGGAATATGTGGCGCGCATGGTGAAATTTCTTGTCGACAATGGCTTCGCAGATTTGACCAGGATTCACCTCATCGGGCACAGTTTGGGTATAAACAGATGAGACCTCATGTAAATTGCAAATGTATTTTTAATTAATTGGTTTTCAGGTGCGCATCTTTCTGGCGTTGCTGGTTATCATGTTAAAGCGCTGACTGGCCAGAAAGTAGCAAGAGTGACGGGTCAGTTTATTTTTCAGAACTTTTTAGATTAGTTGAAAATGCAGATTAATTCGATCATAAAATTGTCTTCGTTTCCATAAAACTCCGAGTAAAAATTTTAACGGCTTTCCTGTAGAAAGGCCCGATTTTCTGCATAAAAACTTTATGCGCAGCAATTTTGCAGAAAACTATGTACATATGTACATACATACTATGCATATTCTGCAGAATAAAATCACAGAAATTTTCTACATTATGCAAAAAATTGTGCAGGATACAATTTGCACCAAGGTTTTGTCTATTACTGCCGAATTCGACAGTTATTTCTAAACGGGGCGCTTTCGTTTACATGAAAAATTCTATGAGCAAGAATAAATTGGGTCAAATTTTGCACAGGTTTGGACCCCGCATTACCACTCTTTGGTGATGCGAACCTCCCTCTCGCCCAGCGACTAGATCCTACCGATGCCGACTTTGTGGACGTAATTCACACCGCAGGAGCTGACGGCACCTCCGAAATATGCGCGTCCCTCGGGTTTCTGGAACCATTGGGTCACATTGATTTCTACCCGAACGGTGGAAAGGTGCAACCTGGGTGTACGGAACCGAGTGGTGAGTCACATAAAAAAATAGTTTCTGAATGGAGGTCTCCTTGCGTATGCTCTCGGATTTTGACCAAATTAGTGTCAATCGATAACAAATTTAATTAGTATGAAATTTGCGAAAGACACGATCTCCCAATGTGCACGTTTGGCAGAGATGTTTCCAATTCCATCCGAAGATGAGAAAACGTGCCCTAAAGTTGACAAATTTTCCACTTTCACACTCTTCTGTGGATGCAAATAATTGTATCTCCGCCAAACCTGAGAGTTGGCAAATAGTGTCTTTCGCAGTTTACATACTGATATGATTAAATTTGTTATCGATTAAGACTAATTTTCAAAGATTGACACTCTGTTTTGTTTTAGTTTGCAGCCACTCCAGAGCTCATGAACTCTACGCGGAAAGTATTAATAACCCCTTGGGTTTTCCAAGCTGTAGGTGTCACGCCTTCGAAACTTGCAGTTCTCAGGCAGGGTGTCCATTTCCGAATTATATGGGAATTCAGGCTACTCAAATGTATGTACATACATAAATGGAATGGCTGTCAAAATAAATAAATGAACAGAAAATTAATATTGAAAATCGGGGATTTTTTACATAGAAAATCTCTCCCAGAGGGAACCTGGTACCATATGGAAACTTGGGATTTACGTCCGTATGCGAAAGGTAATTCCTTCAATTAGTTAAACTTTTGATCTATATGTACCCAAGTAGCTATTTATAATGTGCAAAGTTGGTAATAATAAGGATAAAATAGTCGAAAAAATTAAGTTGGAACAAGCATTTGGATTTTTATACGTTTAAAAACTTGCATTATTGCCATAATTATAATTTATTTATCTCGCTGATATTACCCATTTTAAGATTTCAAATAAGGGCGAGCAGTATTCGTTTCTTGCTGGTTTGCTACATTTATAGCCCTGCAAATCAAGAAATGTAAAGTACAGGAAAGTGCAAGAAGTGTAAGAAACATGTTACAAATGTTACTGCATCATCTAGCCACGCGCGTTTTATCGTGGACGATATTAATAACGGCGGGATATTTTTTTAATAGCGTCGGGAAGTAGTTTCTTGCAGGTCAAAATAGCTGCAAAAAAAACACTTTCTTGCCATTATTCCTTGAAAGTGGTTACTTTTCACCGAGACACTTTCTGCGAGCCTGCGAGTTTAACCAACCTAGTTATTTAATTAATTCTCTAACATTCCGTTCAATTTTTCCACTAGCCGGCTGCCTCCAAAGTTTGAAGTCTTCTCCGAATAATATTTCCAAATCTGACGTCGAACTCGATATTGTGGTAATCCCATCCGGTCACACCGACGTGCTTCAGACTGCGATAAACTTTATCGACCCGGTTAGAGAATTTCCTCGCGCATCAATCACCTTTTTAGACCAGCGCAACATGGTAAACCTCGTCTCAGCTGCGCGCCCATTCTCCATCCATCATAGATGCCCCGGCGTCACGGGGGGAGAATACCCTCAAACGACGTGCAACACCCGAGAATTCTACGAAACCACGCCCGCCCAACGGAACACATTTGGCCATGAAGTTTTCACCAAGGGCCACCTGACACCCTTGCGGCCCTTCCAATTCGCCAAGGCGGCCATGGACAGCACCTCGTACTGCACCAATATCGCGCCACAAGACCCCCGAACGAATCATCCGGCCTGGTGTAACGTTGAAAAGCGGGTTTTTGACCATGCCGCCCGAGAAGATACTGGGCACCCGGGTTACGTGATAACCGGTACGTGTGGAAATCCGTCAACCGAAGAGATCACGAACCGCGGCGCATTTATTCCCGCTTGTTGGTGGAAAGTTTACTGCTACAAAAAGGACGGAAAGGTGACCGCGGTGGGATTTAAGACGAGCAATAATATGATCAAAGTTGGGGACAATGCTGCCACCGAGGTACGAAAGAGGGAAGCCGCGACTCCCCTGTCACAATGGGCGATCGGGGAAGATGACGTCATTCATAAGTCGTGGGCTCATTTAAGTGTTGAAGACATTCAGACAAGGCTACTTCAAGGTCACTATCCATCCAGCAATCTCCCGACGCCGGGCGAATGCCAAGATGCGATCCTAACCCCGGCGGAAGCCCAATATTGGAAGGATCAATTCGGTCTGTCTTCTACCTCCCGCAGCGGGCGGGAATCCAACGACGAGTGCTACTTTTGCTCACCAGGGGACGACTGCTACGTCGAGAACACCCTGGAACCTTGCGCTTCCGGGAAAGATATCGTCTTCGCCGTGGTCAGGAAGATCTTCAATTCAGCGGTATTCGACCCAGACTACCAATATTTGTACCGGCTGGCCAACGTGCTTAATAGATTTGGACTGGAGGGGACCTCATGTCGACCAGGCGGGATCTGGCAAATTCAAGAGTCCTGGTTTCAAGAGACGAAATCCGGCATCACGCCCGCTTTAAAGGACGCGATTTACACTAAGTTCGAAATCGATTGGTCCACCACGGTTTGGGAAGATCTTCAAAAGCCGATGTATTCCGGTTTGGCGGCGAGAATTTTGATGCAATTGAGACGAAGAGATATGCAACCGACGATTCGACTACAGGGTGAGACGCTCTTCGCGACCACGTACTCGCCCCGTTTAGCGTCCGAGTTTATCGGTAAGACGGATCAGTACTACAAAGAGGACAAGATCCGAGGACGGTACGACATGATTTTAGTTCTGGACGGGTCCGGCAGTATTGGACCCGCCGATTTCGAACGCGCCAGAACCGCCGTAGCGGAATTATTAGGACCTTTTGCGGAGACTCAAGTACGCGTAGGCCTGATCACTTTCAGCACTGCAGTCACTACTAACTTTCAACTGGATAATAGGTACACCGAGAATGAAATGAGGAACGCTATTAGAAGTATTCCATATCCTGGGGGTGGTACTAACACGCACTTGGGTATTAACGAGGCCATAAATATGTTCGATCGGCACGTCCTTGACCCAAAAGTTCCCTCTGTATCCATCGTGTTGACCGATGGTCAGTCAAGCTCGCCCGCCAGTACGGTAACAGCATCCGCCGCGGCTAAAGCGAGAGGAATATACACCTTCGCCGTGGGAATTGGTAGTGGAATCAGACAGGCTGAACTCGAAATAATTGCGGGTGACAATCCCCGCCATGTTTTTTCCCTTGGTTCGTTTGACGCATTGCAGGAAATCCCGCTCTGGTTGAATATCGAGACGCAAACGATTGCTATAGTTCGACCGGATAATGACAATTTTAGCGACGCGGTGAAATCGGAGGAGCGAAGATATTTCAAATACCCGCTACCCACGGAGGGACTGACGGTCGAAGTTTTCAACAGTTTGGGAGAAACTGCGACGTATTTTGCGTACGAGTTTGACGCTCCCTCATCTGCTATAAATAATGGGAAGATTGAAAATGGTCGGCTGGTCTATATTCCATATCCGGATGGAGCGAAGGGGAGGAGCATGGGACCGACGCATATTTATGTCTCGGTTGAAGGAAGAGGAGATGATAATCAGTTTGAAATTAACACCCAGACGGGATTCGTTGAAGGTGTGCTTGCTTTGCTGATTGCATTTTTAAAGTAGGACTCGATCACAAAAATCGTAAAATCTACACAATCATTTCTCAGATATGGGAATTTGCTTTAAAATTCTGGGCGACAAATTTGTAGTCAGTAAGTTGGTTAATAGAATGGCGATAAGTTTTTTAAGTCAGTTACGATTAATTCCAATTTTTCTGAAGGCTTCTGACACTTGAGATCTCCTCTTGGAAAAAATTATCAAAATCTGTATCTGCATCTGAGTCCTACTTTACAGATAAACAAATTATATCATAAAAATTTTGAATTTTGAAAAATTGTGGTAATTATTTTAGGGTGTGGGTTTGTTGGTGAGAGGGGCACAACTTTCAATACTCAACCCGTCTTTGAAACAGCGCTAGAAAATGAAGTCATTTTGTAAGTTAAATAATGTGCACAAATTAGCATTTTTTGCAATTTTGTATATTTATGTAGCTCTCGTGATTTGTACCTTGGACCATTATCGCGGAGCTTATCAACCCTTGACAGAGACTATCTGAGACAAAGCATGGACGGGAATAGGTTCCAACTGCTCGCAAAAGCTAGATTTTCTTCATATGTGACGGAAAAGCGCCAATTGGTCATGAGTAGTTCGGTGTCCTTTAGCTGCTCGGACGGGACAAGGAAATCATATACATTTACAATTCCCATCATTGACGAGAATAATCATGGACGTAAGAATGATATTTCTCAAAGAACTTGATGACTCGTCATCAAAATCGTTAACATCAAAGCATTTTTAACCATTTCTCGGCACTGGAAATTTATTTTAAAATTCTGGACGACAAATTTATAGTCAGTAAGTTGATTAACAGGATGTTTTTAATTACGATCAGCTATTTTCGATGAGTTCCAATTTTCCTGAAGGCCTTTTAAACTTAAAATCTCCTTCAAAAATTGTCAAAATGTAGAGTGTTTTTTTTAATTGGGAACTCCCTGCTTTACAAATTTGCCTACCAGAATTTTAAAATAAATTCCCAGAGGCAAGAAATGGTTAAAAATATGCTGATTTTGACGATTGTAATTAATGTAATGTGATTTAAATTTTAGCCGTGCTCAACGCTACCTCGACTGTATTCACCGTTTCTCGCCCGGTGAATATTAACTCGCCAATAAATCTGGGTTCTTCACAACTGACCTCGACAGATGCCGATTACGAAGAAGAGAACGCCAGATTGTACACAGGAACGAATAATTCGTTAATTGAGGTTCGTCCCGTTAGAACCTGGACTGCGCCCTACCCAGTCAGTTACAAGTACAATTTGGAACTTTACTTCACCGAGGAGCCACAACCGGGTATTTTGCCGGTGAAAGTATACGTGCATGATGGCGTGCAGCAAGCCCAGATTGACATCACCATCGAAGTGGTGTAAATTTGGGAAGAATTTTTTCATCCACAATGATTACAAAGATTTAATTTTGAAGAATGTAGAATGTATTTTTGGGGAGAAATGTACTTGAAATTTCATTTTCGAAATGAAATTTCATTTCGTCATAAAAATATTGAAGAGATAAAATTTTCGTAATTTCGGTTGCCAATTTTTGTAATTTTGTCCACAGATTTTGATTACAATTTTTTTGGTTACAAATTAAATAGAGACAGTCTGCAGTATACAGCATACTTTCTTCCAGTCTCAAATGCATACAAAAATCATCAAAATTATGACAAATGCGTACAAATATTCATCATTAGGTCAAATATTCACAAAAAATAATTACTCTCATCGAAGAATGAATGTTTCTCAGATAATGGTGTATAGTACTTTGCCAAAAGTTTTATATGCGAATAACTTGAAACTAATTTAATTGGAAACTTTAACACCGGCTGAAATTCGTATTTCATTCATACACCGGCATCAGAAACATAAATTACCTAGTTCACTGAGATTTCCTAAACATTTAACAACCCCAGTTTCGTACATAAGATGTTTTAATCCTGCTCGACATCCTACAAAGGTTTTACTACCAAAATCTGTTTTCTTCCCTTTTAGAGGTGTTGATGAACCACTTTTAAAATTTCCAGTGGGAAGAACCCCACACATACGAAGAAAGAGACCTTGTTTCACTGGGGGCGATTTCTTTATTCCTTCACCAGAGTTCCCCTTTCCTTCCTTCTTTCAAAACCATTCATAATTTCATTTCACTGTGAAGGATGTCGTAGTGCGAGCAAATTCAAGTCGAGGTGACACAAGGAGAGAGACACGATGGTAAGAAAATGAAAGTTTTTGGATACGACCACACTTTAATTAATTAGAAAATTCAACAGAGTGGAAGAAAATTATTTCGAAAATGCTTCCTTTAAATTGTCTCCGCTTCAGTTAATTTTCAGGCTAAATAAATGAATTTCAGAAGACTGGTTTTCTAGAAGAAATTCTACTCTAATTATGCATCTGTCCATTTTGGACAGATGACGCATGTCGAGAGGGTTAACCAGGCTGCCGGAATTCCATTAAGCAATATGTATCTCGTTCTCAATAAAGGCTAATTATGAGCCAGAACAATTCGTATGATAGGGCAGAACGCGTACAATAATTCTATTAATAACATTTAGGGTTAGATAAGTTGAAGGAGGAGAAAACATATGCGATTTGACGTGACATAACTGACGTGATGTAACGTCATGCCATTCTTTTACTTTCACTCGTGTTCCGAGAGCAAGGAAAGTGTAGGAAACAGCTTTCCGTGATTGTTTAAGGAACAACAACTAGTACTGTTTACCAATTTTCGTAGTTTCTCATGTATAACGTATATTTCTCATGGAAAAACTACCCTGTCTCATATTTCCCATAACTTAAGTACGTCACATATTTATTTACGTTCTGCTCTACGATTTCTTAAGCACGCAGAGCTATATAGATTTCGAAACGGTGAAACCTCATCCCGACTTTTCTCGGCCCCAAATCTGCTGCTTTCACTACACGTATTCCCCCCTCGACTAGAGAGAGGAGAGAAAATAGAGAAGATATGTTTTAAACAGCATCTCGCCGAGCGAGCAGCTCAGTCCTTGTCAAACTCTTGCCAAGGAACGTGAACGAATCAGTGCGGTGTTATTCATTAATTGGACGGTGAAAGTTTAGCACGTGTAGTTTTTGCGTAACTCGTTCAACTGATCCTTAATTGCGTAAAATACGTAGGCAATTTCTGAAATATTCAGATGGTAATTGTATTGCAAGCAAATTCAATAAGATTAGAGTATCTATCTAATGATAATTATGGTAAGAATTATTTGTAATTTGGAGGTATTAACGTTATGGCTAATTTTTTGAAGAATAAACTTTCACCACCAACCTAACGGGGAGAAAAAGTTAACAGAATACTATACTTTACAAGATTTTCAGAGTCGCTGTTCAATCGCTATCGATATGATGATCCTAAGTTGAACGTATTTAAAGTCGACTCGATTTTCAATATAATTGACGTATATAAGTAACAATTAGATTCCATGATGGGACGTAAACGCTGCGAGTAATTACTTTTCGGCTTGAACAATTCTTGGATAATTACCACCTAATAATATTTTATCTAGATGTAATATCAGCATTTTTGTCCGAATTTAATTACGTCTATGGTCCCGGTCCTCTATACAAAAGCATTAATGTTACCCTTCTAATTTTGTTGTCTCTCATGCTATTTCAGAAATGGTCGGATGAGCTGCAATCATACTTTTATTATCAGTCGTAATCTCGATGCTCCAGCAATTATTGGGAGTCATTCATCTAATTTTGCCATAAAAATGTCTAGCAAATGTTATAACTTTTCGTAATCTCGATATCCCATCATAATGATGTGAGATGATGCGATGGTGCTGTTTGGCACGACTAATCACGTAAGAAGATCGCTGTATGAACATTGTCCCATTGGATGACGATGCAAAGTTGTGCTTTGACAAATTTAATATTATGAATCAGAATCATAATATTATTATTAAAATCGAATGATTTTAATTAATCAAAGAAATAGATTTTTGAGAACACATTAATTAAATTGAAATTTGTGTAGTAAGTTAAATAGTATAAAGTGTCTTCAACTGTAATGATCTGTTGATTGGAAACTACATATGTGCATATAGATAGATATCACTTACTGAGGTGAAAGCAGAGAAGACCTGTTTATGCAACTGTTTTGATGCGGGTGTGGGGAAAAGTCCTATATACTGACAATTTTGCGTCATGTCGATTGTTGAGCGGATCTCGTAAAATAAATTACAATAGTTGTTACGAGCGCTTAAATACGCTGAGTAATAAAAATGAGGATACAGATCTCTTTAGTTTTATAACAGTCCTTGAGGCAACTTCGTATGAGAACACACTTGCAATCAGTTTGTTTTACAAGACTTGTTCTCAAATATTGATTAACACTTTAAAAGTGCAGAGGCAACCAATTGAAAATTCCAGAGGAAACATTGAAACAAATTTTTTGTTCTTTTTGGGAAATGTTTGAGCATTTTCGATACAGCTTCCACCCTTGTTTCATCATTGCATTTATGTCTTTTCTTTCAGGCGGTGAGGGTGAAGTCAGCCTTGTTGAAGATAAGAAATGACACGACCTCCTTATCATCGCCCAAATTGCTCGCTCCCCACAATCATCCTGTTGATCGCGTTTTTTTCTTCTTTTCTACATTTTTCTCTTATTTCAATGTTACAGAACAAAGGAATATTGCTGAGAACGTGAATTTATTTGGAGGGTGCACTTGGCTTCATTCTTTTTTTTTATTTTAGGCTAATTTATGCGCAACTGAACCTGTTGTTGGCTGCTTGGGTGGAGAAAGTGATGAATTGTTGATGATGATGTCGGTCGTCGTACACAAAGCGGTCTCCTATCTGATGAATACAAGCTTGGGTATTTGCTGGTTTGTTCAAATGTTATAGTTTTGAAACTATTCAGCTGCGTACAATACATGAAATAAGTAGTTTCTCATTTGTGATGTGGTAAGATATGAAAAAGTGAAAGCGACATATATGACGGTTTCCAATGCGCAAAATTATTTTTATTTAACAGATTCTTTGAAAAAGAGGGCTGAAACAATGTATACTTCGTTCACAAAGCCTGATAAGTATTTATTGATCGGAAATATTGATTGCTAACTGTACCCCGCATTTAGTTCGATGTGTTACGGGTTAAACAAAATTATTTACATTAAATTGCGGGTTGGACCAACCGTAATTGGTCCAAAGTATCATGTTCGTTGAAATAAACTGAACCTATTGATCACGAATTTTGTAAACAACACCTGCACAAAGCATAAAAATCAAGTTGGATTTCATGCAAGGTTTTCAATGTTTGGATTGGCTTCTTCTAGAATGAAAGTAAATTAGACCTCATAAAAACACCCAAGGTGGAAAATGGTGCATCCCATTTTCCAAGTACAAGTAAAAATCTTTGAGTTTTGTAATGACATGCACAATATTTGCAGACGGTTAAACAATTTGAACTGAATGTAATTTCGTTTCACTCTGGTTGTTTTCTGGGATTACAGTGGAAATCCTGACCAAAATCTGGCCTGGTGGGAATTAGCAGTGGTGAAAGCGGTTTAAGCTCAAGAGAAGAGATTTGTCTTTCTGTAGAGAGCAAAGTGTGATTAATTCCAGATGAGAATTGAGTGATGAGATTCTAAACCGACATGTCCTTCCTGCAACCAGTCGTTTGGACTTAACCCGAATAATATGATTTTCAGGAATAAACAGTATTGCTGTAATTCAGATACAGCCTTATGACACCTTTTTTACTAGATGGTTGATTATTGAATTTATAAAAATTAACAAATAAACTCTTTCATCACAAGAGAAACTAACGATAAGCTAAAAGTGCTGGAGAAATGGAGAAAGCCAAATTTGAGTTACAGGGCCAACAAGGGTCGTATTTACTTATGCCTAACTTTCTCGGGTTTCTAATTAATAAACGAATTAGTGGAAATAGAGTATTGGAAAAGCTCTTTCTTATAAGATTTCCCTGATAGCAAAGAAAATGTGTTTCGTATATGGATTGACATAAATACCAATTTTCTCCATGATTTACCAATAGCTAAGGAAATTCCCTTGCAAGTAAATTCCATTCCGGCCAAATATTTGGAGGAATTTGTATCCAAGTTGGATTCGGATGAATGGTTTCCTACTTCGGTTCTAAGGTTTTGCAAAGAACGTAAAGACAACTCTTACTAAAATCTATGGGATTATGATGACAATTTGTGTTTGGTTTGTTCAGTTCGCCTTGTCAATCCCCTTTATGTACCCTCGGTTTTATTGTTACTGCATCATCAACTCCATGGCTTTCACCGACAGAATTCACTGGATTTTGTGGTAGGGTTGACTATTCTATTATCCTTGAACTTCATTCAATCCGTATTTTTTTGTCTGATAAAATACTTTCAATTTCTTACTCAATTGGTTAAGCGAGTTCTGAAATTGATACAGTGAGAACTTTGAGATCCGTGGTTTCGTTTTTTTGACAGGAAGACGGGAATGGTGACAGAGGTGATTGGATTTGCAACTCTGCTGAATTTTTGGAGCAAGAATGTTGGATGAGGAAATAAAAAAACGAGTTTTGTATCTGCAAATATTTTATTTTCACCTTTGTTAACGAAACGAAAATTTCTTTAAAAAGATTTCAAATTATATTTCAT